CAGTCGACGAAGATAAAGAATGATTCTGTTCTAGTAACAACCATTAACAACTGTGAAGATAAAATAACATAAGATATAGACATCTTTCACCTACATTTGACTTTCGCTATTATCCTTTCGTTGTTTTCCTGTTAATTCTCTTTCTTATCCAACACTGTTTCGCGATCGACATTTTCCTTTCGACATTTTCCTTCTCATTGATTAAACATTCGCTATTTGTCTTTTCGACCTTTTCCTACTTTTTTGTCGACATTTTCCCTGTTCGACATTTTACTCTTCTGCGTTTTCCGCCAATACCGTATTTTTAACTTTATTTGATGAAATGTTGAGAGTAGTTGCCATTATTATATATACCAAGTTCGATTCTTTCGACACTATCTGTGAAATTTTTTTGCCGTCTTTTTCGAAAAAATGTTTAGCTATCTTGGAAATCTCATAAGCTAACCATGTTTCATTTATTGAATAACTTGAATAACGTAAAATAAGTTAACTGAAAGTCTTTTAATAAATTGTATCCAATGGACTGAACTTGGTATAAATAATAATGGCAACTACCCTCAACGTCTCATAAGACAAATAAAAAATATCTCTGCATTTTTATATTTTCATTTAGTTGTTGCACGAATTTTTGATCAGATTTAAGTACAAAGCAGCTGTCAGCGTCTTAGCGTGGCTCATTTTGTCTTTTAAAATCTTTAAAGTATAACGGCCTTTAAGAATAATTTTATTTCAGAAAATAATTTTAATATTGTTACTTGAGAATTGTTTTTATTTAAAATATTAATTGCAGTGATTTGACTTTTAAGGTGAAATTAAATTATAAGTTTTCAGTTTAGTGTAAAGTTAATTTGAAAAGTTTTAATTAAAATAAACATCACTTATCGTATCAAAAGAAATATTTTTTCCGATTTTGATTGTTTTTCAAAAACAAAATAATTTTTCTCAAATGTTGATGATCAAAAAAGCTTTTTTTGAAAAAGATAATTTAATAAATTAATTTGGTTCAGTTGTAGTTAAATAATTTTAGGCTTTTATAATAAATAATTTTTATTCATATCATAATTTGAGAAACTCTGTGTAAAACTGTGTTAAATAGTATCTGACGAATGTCTATTCATATATACGAGTTAATCAATTGATCATATAGTTCAATCGATTAAACGATGGGTAAAAGTTATATATTGCATGCATCAGAGAATCTAACCTTCGAAATTATATTTTTATTATATAGACTAGTCCGGACTAGACCACCACATAAGACAATAATCTGTTAAAAGCAGTATTTTGGACACTTTCTTTTTCGATTGAAAATCTATTTTGAATGGACATCTTAACGATGCAATATGTTTAGTCTTTTTTGCAAAAAAGACTAAACATAATAAACAGAATGATGCAAATCAATTACCAAATCAAGATGGAAGTTAGACTCAAAACGATTCCGGACTAGTTCTGCACTAGGACTTTTTGAGAACAAGACTAAACATGACTAGTAGTCAAGATTTCTTTTTATCCGTCCTTTACTCACCTGGACAAATTCAGATAAGTGTCAAATTATCGTCTTATTACAATAAGAATTGTTACAGTCCATCTAAAAAAATTCACCTAATTTTTTCACTAAAATGACGTAATTCTAATTGATACAAATTCTATCGAACGTATATGTTACGGGCAAATCTGAGATTTGTCCGGTCAAAACTGGAATTCCACTTTTGCCCGGGCAATAATGGAATTCTACTTTTGACTAGAGAAATATTGGTCAAAACTGGAATCTTGACAAATCTGAGATATTACAAGAATGAAATGCAACTGTTATTTAAAATTGATAATCATGATCTTAGTTTCTCTAGTAAAGACTGAAGACATGCTTGTACTGCTAATAAGGTATATATATATACTCAGATCTTTACTAAATACTGATCTACTTAACCGCGAAAAGGTGGCATGATATCTAAGTAGTTTTTCCATTTTGTGTATTAATATATGTGCACTCAAATAACGGACAATAAAGACAATAAAGACAATCTGTGTTATGTACATGTGCACTCATCTGAATAGTAGTAAAGAAATCTGATATGTATTTACAGAACTTTTCTGAGTTTCAACCCTAAAAGACAGAATAAAAAAGAATACATCCGCAGCAGAAAATAGCTATATACATTTGTTTTCATCAATATCAATCAACATGTAGTGTTAACAGTGCACCTGAAAAGAACATAATGTTTTTTTAAACCATATTCTTACATTTACCCTTTTCTGAATGACATTTGGTGGAACAGGCGACCCCGGCCTTTTTACAAGGACAGTGTTTAGTGGCACATTGGCTTTTACAGTCACAAGTAGCTCCATTTATTGCTCCACGGACATATAATTTCGAAGCTTCAATCAAAGACAGTTCCTTCTCTAAATCAAATAAATTAAGCGACTTTAATTCGTTAGGACAGCTACTTCGTAGACCAATAAGACTTTCTATACCAAATCTATCTTTCAAGAATCTGAATTGACACACTAATAAAATACATAATCATAATCTTTCTTTTCTTTACTAACAACTAAGCATGGTAAAATTTTTGAATCTGTATTTGTCCTGTCAACAGTATGAATTCGCACTCCAACACAGTTATTTTTTTATACATTTCTGCCAAATTACTTAGATGTTCATCATACGCTTTTGTTCGTTTATTAGCTGTTTCTAAATAATTATCTTACGCTTTGCGCCGAATATTTTCATGTCTTATTAGGTTATTTTCTGATGAATTATAGCTTATAAAAGATGAGGATGGTTAAGAAACACAATTAGTTTTTGAAATAGAATTAGTAGCAGGTGCTGTAGATATTGACTGTAAATCTGAAAGTACTACGTTATTTTCGTTACTTAAACATGTAACTGGGCTGGAAGTTAAATTATGTAAGTCAAAAAGTGTTGTTGATACTCGTCGTGGAGATGGAGGCGAATCAAAAGATATTAGATTTTTGTTACTGGGTTACCATTAACAATCAACGATTGTTGAAGTGAAACATGCAGAGTAGATGGTGATAAATCAAGAAGGCATTGAGAAGTAGACTGAGAAATGCTAGCATTTAGAGGACTGGGTAAACATGTTACATACGTTATTTGAATTATGAAGAGATTCTTGATGATCAATATTATCAATAATATTATCAATTGTCTTAGATGTACTAACAGAAATTTCTTTATCAACATCATTATTCTGAATACTTTCAGTCGGTGAAGGTAAATGTTCTTCATCAATAATATCTTCATCTTTTACAATTTTCCAAAATTCGGAATCACCTCGAGGATGTTGACCAAACATAATTTCGTAGGGTGTGGCTTTAGTAGTGTCAGATGCTCTTGTAAACTACAGGCAATAAACCTTCTGACAAATGTATTGTGTCATTTGTTTGTAACCACTTTCCTAACGATAAACTTAAGACGCCATTCGCCTTTTCTATGCATCCTTGCGATTGTGGATGACGTGGACGACCACGAATAAAGCACAAATTAGGAAAAACTGTTTTTAGTTCTAAAATAACCTTAGCAACGAATTCTGATCCATTATCTGAATGTAATAAACGTGGGGGACCAAAAGTAAAAAATAACTGACGAAGTTTTACAACTACTTATTTAACTGATTTATTTTCTAATGGATAAGCCCAAGTGAATTTTGAAAAATGATCAATACAATGTAATATCCAACAATACACAACGTCTACAGAAACAACATCAGGTCTTGTTCTCATATCTATTAAATCAATTTGTAAAGGTGTCATAACACCTAGTGATATGACAGGTTTCGAAACAACTGGTTGTTTTAGTGGTTTTCGAAGTTGACACGGGAGACAATGCCTTAAGAATATTTCTACAACAGCTCTAGGTACACATGAATAATGCGAATTAATTTCGTTTAGAGTTTTAGTTCTACCACCATGTGATACATTTAAATGACATTCTTTCATTACAATAAAAAATGATTCGTAAACACACAGCGGTTTTTTATTTCTCGCACAACAACAGTTCCAGCAATTTTCTGAATTATAAAATTTTTTTTTTTTAGAAAAAAAAATTTTTTCTTTTAGATATGTGGAGTTTGTCGCTAAAAGCAGATAACGAGTGAAAGTAGAATTAAATTTCTATTCGGCTGAAAAAGAGCGATAGTTTGAAAATAAAGCACGTGAAAAGCCCATGGATATTCCGACCGGGAATCGAACCTGCAAATCTCTGATAATAGATTACGAACGCTGATCACTAACTGCCGAGACACAATTCAACACATACTTTCATTTTATGAGCATAACTTCTAACTGGAATCTAGACAACTGCGTGGTATTCCTTGTTTATATAATTAGTATTACTGCCCAGTTCATCACAAGCGTATAAATATGTCTGATGATTCGGTATGCCCGTTTTCAGCCACTAAGCTCTTGATAAACAGATGAAATATGAACCCACAGCGGTTGTTAAACCAGATCAGAACAGATGTGGAAGTATTAAATGTATGAAATATATTAGTGTAGTTTGCTTGTTGCACGGTCGTTGCTGTTAAGGAGTGTTGTTGTTGCCAGTATGTAACATCGATAAAAAGAAGCACATGAGTTGCAACTCAGCTAAAATAAGGGCTGATAACGACTATACAATTGCTTTTCTTCGTTTTTTATAATATCACTTGAGTTGTTCCAAACTGATATGATTACTAATATAGTGGCGTAGCCAGGATTTTGGTAGTGGGTGGGCGTTGCCCCAAATTTTTCGAAAGTGGTATAAATATAAGAGATTTTGACTTAATTTTCTGACTTTCCATATCAGAATCCTGCTGCCATACTTCTTCAGTAGTAATAACTCATTTCGTGGCAGACAATCGATAACATCTCAGTCTTTCATAAGTACTATATCGAAATAGTGTTTATTTGTCGAACTTATTTACACAAAAACAATTGTATCATATTCACTTGAGATTGATTCTATTATTCTTATGCTGTATAGAGAAAATATCAACAGCTTTTTCAAAATCGATCTGAATATCACGTTCGACAGCCAAAACTGTTAGTCGCCACAACTGTTAGACCTCAAGCACTTTTTCTAAACCAAGAGCGAAAAAATGGAAATTGTGGCCGTAATTCTCAATTTTCACCACGAGAACTCAATTTTTATGCAATAAAAGTATTGTATTCGGAGTCAGCGTCCAAAACCGAGTCGAATGCTATCTGTTTTGGAAGCTTTTGTTGATTTTCATTTTAGAAAAAGTGAAATTTCTAAGCAATAGAGAGAAAAACGAAACGTTGTTTTATAGCGAGCGACGTGGCAATTCGAATGGCGTATGAATGGAGGAGCTAGGCCTTGACCGAAAAAACTAGATGGAGTTGCAAGATAAGGACCCACGAACGGAGCACCACCGTGTTTTGAATTTTCATAGCCGGTACAACATGATCAAACAAGTTTTAGACCACATGGCTAGATTCAATTTGTGACGAGGAATCCGAAAATCACGTTAGTGAATCGCTATTTTCTCAAAAGTTAGGATTTTGCGATTTCTGAGCACCTCTCAGTATTTTACGTGATTCTACCCGAAAACCCAATTCAGATAAAAAAATAAGGTGATATTCGGAATCAGCAGCTTCCGCTCTATCAGAATATGTGTGTTTAAAACAAAATAAAAAGTCCTGTAAGTCTGAATTACGCGCGCCTTACTTTCTGTATGAATGTGAATAACTTTTTCAGAAATTCCCGGTTGTGAAACGTTCACCTCTCGTACACAACAGCTTGATTTATGAAATAAGGTCAAAGCATGTATATCGTAACTCTAACGACACAGTGATTGTTAAATTTGTAGTGGAGAAATTATTTCATCCAAAAGAAAACTTTCCTACAAATACTTCGGTTCTACATTTATCTATGTATATCTTTGTTTCAAAACGTCGAAGAAATTCAAAGTAGAGCAAAAAGGTTACTTGTAGAACAGGCTACTACTACACACTGAGATTAACCATCTAGAAAAGGTACACACTTTTCGATGTTGAGTGAACGTTTAGAAGATTTACATACCTACCCATGTAGAAATTTTTCAGCGAATTTCTGCGTTAAACATTGGAATAACGCAGAAAAGAGCGACTTGTGTACACAATTTTGCAGAAAGGTCAACAAACGCAGAACTTTGTCCATAATCTTTTTGTTACTTTTTGCAAAAGAGCCCCAAAAGTTATCGGACGATAACTTATAAATTTCTATCCGTTATCTTTTTCTGATTCTATAACTTGTTATTTCAGCAAAGCAGTATAAAGTAGCATGGAATGTAGAAAAGTCCAATGAAAAATCAGACGTTTACGCAGGGTCGCGCCTATCCGTGCGCCCTCCGTGTACTAACCCAGCGAGTAATTAGAAAATGATGAAGCTGGATTTCTAAGGAGAATCTGCCAGAAAACGTACATATACGCTTTTTAACGGACCATAGGGTGAGTGTACGTGAAGGCTTTGGAATGAAATGCAAAGTGTATAAAGTCATTAAATATGCCTGTTAGAACAAGGAAGAAAAAAAAGATTGTTATCCGTTATTCTGTTTTAATTAAATAAAATTCAAATACAAACTAAAGAGTGTTTTAAATGGCTTTTTCGGTGTTTTCGCGTTCACGTTCAATCTAAAAATAAACCGCTTAATATTAAGTGGTCAAATGCTATTCTTTTTCTTTCCTTACAAATCCTTACAAAACTCAAAGAGTATTTATTTTCTGAGATCAAGTACAAAGCGTATATCAGAGCGTATTTTGACTTTAGTTCGAGTACTGTACGCTTTGAAACAAAGGCGTACGCGTAATATTAGAAGCACCGATGAAGCATCAGCCTAGCAAGCTATTACGTGCATCTATTTTAGCTGTTTTTTCGAAAGTCGTTACACAAATAGTGCAATCATAAGAAGAAAAGTAGTCATGAAAGATGGTTGAATAAATGCTGGAAGCCTCATCGGGTGTGTTATTATATACGTTATGTTAACATATACGGAAGATTTCTGGCGAAACTAGCCAAAATGATTCCATTGTCTGAGGTGTACGTTATCTAATACGTAACTTACTTTGTTCTCCGTATATAAGTGCTGATGATTTACCGATGACTCATCACTTTTCGTTTATTTTTACGTTTTTTGGATATGGATATACATAGCAAATCGTGCCACTTTTCCTGGGGGTGGTTTACAAGGAAACAGAATACATCAATCGATGGGGAATTTAATGAGGATTCCAGATATGCTACCCCTTTTCCTGGACAACTCTTAATTTTTGAGAAAGAAACGAAAAACTGTTTTTGCGTGGAAACTAGCGCTTTTTATTCTATTCTCCCATTTTTTCTCGGCATATTTCTGCATATGCTTTTCCTTCTCTGATTCTCTTTCTTTTGTGTATTGTCGGGATGAACGGAGAGAACGAAAAGAGAATAGCCGCATATACTTTATATTAAACGTTGATTTGTACAGCTATGCTTTAGTGGGAATATTCATTTACTCTTGTATCCAACAACATTTCTACACTATGAATTTAATGCATAATCCGTCAAGTTAAACAATTAAAATATCACTAATTAGACAGTACACTTTTCCACTTATCACGCGATCTTTAAGTACAGAATTTGAACATTATGCTGAAATATTTTTCAATAAAACGCACCTCAGATTTATTAAGATGTCGAGCTGCCTATATCACCGTTGAACACACGAAAAAATCATAATTTTTGTTTGTTATTGAGTAAGCTTCTCAATCAGTTCTGGAAAAAGGTTTTAAGGCTCTTTTTCACTATCATGACTTTTCGGCTTTCTCTTCGGGTCATGATAATCAGACATAATATGTGTTAAAACTTTAGTTATTCAGTGAATAACCACATTAATTTTATGTAGAAAATGAAATAAAGTAGAAATGAAACATTCAGAATGATTCTGAAAATAATATGTGGTTGTTGCGTGTATAATGAAAAGTGGCGATCGATCCGCCAGTTTGGTTAGTGAAAATAGTTACTACATTTTTATTGCGCTTTTTCGTTTTTTAGCTCCTGTTTATGAGCGAACCTAAATAATCTGTTTTTTGCAAAATTACGCAAAAGAAACGGTGAATTATCTCGATGACTCATCATTGCTCTGGAAACCCACCGATTGCATTCTTGCGTTGTAACGCAAAAATGTTTTTTGCAAAATACGGCAGAAAATTCTGCATGCGTTGTAACGCAAACAGTTCGCTCTTGCAGAATTACACAAAATTTTGTGCACACAAAAAATTGCATTTATTTCGCTCGTGTAACCATATTTTGCGGTACTCCACTCAGATGCTTGCATGCGTT